GGAGAGCTGTCAAGAGGGGCTGTGGCTCAGTGGCAGAGCCTCTGCTTGGCATGCAGAAGGTCCCAGGTTCAATCCCCGGCATCTTCACTTAAAAGGACCAGGCAGCAGGTGATGGGAAAGACCTCCGCCTGAGACCCTGGAGAGCTGTCAAGAGGGGCTGTGGCTCAGTGGCAGAGCCCCTGCTTGGCATGCAAAAGGTCCCAGGTTCAATCCCCGGCATCTTCACTTAAAAGGACCAGGCAACAGGTGATGGGAAAGGCCTCCGCCTGAGACCCTGGAGAGCAGCTGCCATTCTAAGTAGACACTAGTGACCTTGGTGGACCAAGGGTCTGATTCAGTATAAGGCAGCTTCATGTGTTCATGCATTATAGGGGAGAGGCCATGGCTCAGTGGCAGAGCCTCTGCTTGGCATGCAGAAGGTCCCAGGTTCAATCCCCGGCATCTCCAGCTAAAAGGACTAGGTAGCGGCTGACATGAAATTCCTCTGCATGAGACCCCGGAGAGCCGCTGCCAGTCTGAGTAGACAATACTGACCCTGATGGATCGGTGCCCTGATTCTGCATAAGGGAGCTTCATGAGTTCGTGTATTATAGGGGAGGGGCCATGGCTCAGTGGTAGAGCCTCTTCTTGGCATGCAGAAGGTCCCAGGTTCAATTCCCGACATCTCTGGTTAAACGTGACCAGGGAGTAGGTGATGGGGAAGACTTCTCTGCCTGAGACCCTAGAGAGCGGTTGCTCGGCTGAGTAGACAAGGGGCTGATTCGGTAGACGGCAGCTTCATGACTCCGAGCGAGGTGTCCAGCCATGCAGCCCAGAAGCTCTGCTTCTTGGGAAAGCGCCCCCACCCCCACTCACTCGCTCTCTTGGAGCCCACTGTGATATTTAAATGCAAAAACTGAATGCCAGAAGCAGAGCAGAACAGGGTGTCAAGAGACTCCTGCATTGAGCTTCTGGTCGGACTTGCTCGGCAGGTTAGCCCAGTTCAGAGGCCCGGCCCTCCTTGGAGAACCCAAGCCTCCAGGTGGGAGGGTGGAAACACTTAAAACACAGAGACACACACACAAAACACCAGGCACAACCCCCGCCTCTCCTACAATCCCACCTCTATTGGCCAACAACCACCCTTCGCTTAGCACACAGTTTTTCCAGAAGAATCTGCTCGTTTCCGCTGCCAAAAATAACAGCAAAGTGGAAAAAGTTAAACACACCCGTGGAGGAGAAGCCGATGGGATGGAAAAGTTCCCAAAACAAAGTGCATTCTTTTAACCACCGAACACAACATGCTCGGGAGTTTTCACTTGGGCGGGAATGGCTGAGGACGCCCCTTAAAGCAGGGTTTCCCCAAAATCCGACGAGACTTTTTTTAAAAGAGCATTAGAGGTTTAGAATATGCAGTGTTACCTGCCCCTTACCTGTGTGAACCTCTGGTCAGAGTGCTAAGTCATGCAGAGACGCAACAGGAACCCTCCTCTGTAGTTCGACGTTACATGCCTTGCCAACAACTCTAGAGTTATTCAGCACTCGTCTAGGATGCCTAGGGCACCCTTCTGGGTCTACTCCAGTTAAATGACGGAGAGATGACGTTTGAGCGAGACAGTCCGCATTCAAATACATCTGCACAAATTCACTCTTGGGTGTAATTAAACAGAAAGAGGAGACAAGACGATTAAAGCATGCTGAAAGATACTTACGTCCCCCTCCAGGGTGAGCTTGCTTAAGATTTCGTGGACAGTAGACATCTTGAAAGGAAGCTGGAAGGGAAACGAGAAAGACGACTTCAGGTAGGGCCCGTTTTTACCCCTCCACGCTTTTCATCGCTGCTGCAAGAACTTAACAAAACAAAGTAGTCTTATCGTCGCCGAGCGCAATTATAAACCACAGATTTTTAACTGTGAGATGGGTTGCGTCTGTCAGTTTGTAGAAAGTTTTTTAAAAAACAACCAAGCAGGCCAAATTTATCAATTATTCCTATAGTGATTGGGAAGGATTTGTTGCCTGAAGGGTTTGGAATGACAAATTGCACTGGAATAAAAGGTTGCAAGCGTTAAGAATATCTTCAAGATGGTCAAGACCGAGTTAAGAAAATAAACCATGTTTTAAAAATCAGGACAGCGCCCCAGCCAAGAGGATATTGCTCCACTGGCAAAGAGATCAAGGCGACCCTAGCAGGGCCAAGAAATTAAGTGTCAGACACACAGGAAGTAGATCTGGCCAGGGCAGGCTTATCACAACCTGGGGAACATATTTTCTTGTACAACTGAAATTTCATCCATCTAGGCTGAAACTTTGTATTGGAGGGAGGGAAAGGCCCCCTAGATATTTACCAGAACAAAAATTAACGACCATGTCATGACAACAGATGGACCACTGGTCTGATCCAGCAGGGCTCTTCTGATGTTCTTATGAAGGCCGCAGCCTCTGTGCCCTCTTGTTGGCCCTGCAGAGGAACCGGTTGGCCACTGTGTGAGACAGAAGGCAGGACTTGGTGGACCACTGGTCTGATCCAGCAGGGCTCTTCTGATGTTCTTATGAAGGCCGCAGCCTCTGTGCCCTCTTGTTGGCCCTGCAGAGGAACCGGTTGGCCACTGTGTGAGACAGAAGGCAGGACTTGGTGGACCACTGGTCTGATCCAGCAGGGCTCTTCTGATGTTCTTATGAAGGCCATGGCCTCCATGCCCTGTTGTTGGCCCTCCAGAGGGAATGTTTGGCCACTGTGTGAGACAAGATGCTGGACTAGATGGACCACTGGTCTGATCCAGCAGGGCTCCTCTGATGTTCTTCTTAAAATAAACTATGTACAACAGAATACATAAAATACCAGAATTTAAAACCACAATTTAGGAGTGCCAGTAAATTAATCAAATACGGTCCCAAATTAAACGACAATACGAAGCTGTCTTTTGTGTCATGGGGCTTTTGCCACTGCTGGGCTGGGGGTGTGTGGTGGTGTAAAGCATCTGGAATCAGAGGCAGTTGTTTTCAGAAGGGAGTCGTTCGAGGAATGTGGGCAGGGCCGCTGCGTTCCTGGAGACCAGGCACAAGAACGGAACTCCCAAATTCCTCCAGGTTAGAAAAATATTTCAGCTCCTGGCCAGCTTCTGACAACGGGACGAGATGTTCTGCCTCTCGGGCTGGTTAAACTCTATACGCTACGGGTGAGGGCCCCACGTCCAAGACAGGACACTGCTCCCAGAGAAAGGGAACACTGCAACCCCACAAAGGTGCAAGAAGCAAACACAGCCACACACCGGGCGGCGGGAAAAGCTGGGAGGCAGCTTGGCAACCACTGAAATGGCTCTCACACAGACACACACAGAGTTGTGAAAAGACACCTTGAAGTCCAACCCCGCCACACGTACAAGCTTCAGATTCATGCACACCTTCTTATTTTTTCATGTTCTCTCATACTTCCTGGATGGTTTGTGTAGTGGTTAAGTAAAGGTAAAGG